TTGACATTCTTCTCGAGATGGTTGCAAGATACCGAATTGAGGTACAACAATTTTAGCAAGGAACTCTTAGTCACGTATTGTGCTGTATGGCACTTTCAACACCATAGAAGGCCGAGAATTCACTCCGTTTACCAACCACAAATCTCTAATCTTCTCTTTCAGCTCATCTTCAGATAAGAACTCTCCCTTAGAGTTTCAACAACTAGACTACATTTCGTAGTTCACTTCAGGTATACAGCACATTTGTGGAGCAGACAATGTAATGGCAGACGCCTTCTCTGGTCTAACTTCCTTGAACGGTTTCCAAGGAATTGGCTCTCTCAAACTCGCCAGGCTTCAAAAAGAAGACACTGATATTCAACACGAGTTATCTTCGACAACCCTGAAACTGCATGTCAAACAGATGTGGACAGGTAAGAAGACTTCATTGTGTGACACATCTACATGTAGGACCGTCCAATTTTGCTGAAACATTATCAGTGCAACATCTTCAATACGTTCCACAAACTTTCTCATTATAGTGTTCGTGAAACCACTAAGCCCATGACAGGACAATTTTTTGGTCTGTTGTGAGCGAAAACGTCTGAAAGTGGGCACGCTTCTGTGTAGGCTGCCGGAAATCTAAAGCGATTAGACATGACAATTGTCCCTTTGGTTCTTTCATAACACTCGGCGCCCGTTTCGACCGTGTTCGTATGGATTTGGCAGGATCCTCACTAGATATAAATGGATAGTCTTGCCACTTTACATATGTAGACCGTTTCACACGATGGCCGGAAGCAGCACCCACAAAAGGCACCACTGTTGTAACGGCGGCACGCAACTTCGTTGAGTGATGGATGGCAAGCTTTGACTTCCCTCCAACTATTCCTTAATTTCATTCACAATAAGACGTCTCCCAGGAAGCACGAAGAGACCTACAGAGTCTCTGAAAAGGCTAAATATATTCCAGCTGACCAGAAAGCGACAGAACGTTATAGAATATCAACCAGACCTGTTGTTGTTGAACAATAATATAAATTCATATTCGTGCAAGTAGATATCCTCTATTTAGATTTAGAGATAATAAAACAATGGCAGGTAGGAAAATGAAACGCGAATACCTAAAGAAGTGCCTCGAGTGGGATACTCAAAAACTTGTCTGCTAAAGGAACTTCGCCTTAAAACAATAGTAATAATATGAACCTGTCAGAACGTCGATCCATCACATACCACGACTGAATACATAAACTGGAGTTTGTGACGACCGCCAGTAGATTTTGCATCCAAACTACACATTTCTATTCTATTCATTCATTCTGATAATCCATACATAACCTGTGTTACAGATCATGAAATCATTCTCCTTAACAATTGAGTGGTTTGTGAATGATTGATCAATGTGAAGGATGAGATCAAAGGTTGAACAGATAGTGAAAGTGTGGAGAATGGTAAAGGTATTTGATTTCAGTTCAGATCTTCATGGTGCTAAATAAACCTGATTATCCCACATGTTGTTCCCTGCTTTTTTTCTACTTCACTACAATATTAGACTTATCAATTATGTTTTTTACCCGCTTGTTTACAGAAAATATATTTCAAATATTTTGCACATTTATTCACTAATATTTTCAAGAAAAATTGCAAACACACCTAAAAACACTTAAAAGATATATGAAGGCCCTATTGTTCCACGCACACAATAACTCATAATACGCTTCAATACGTTACTAACTGTATAATTTGTATGAATTCCTCTCCCTGTCTATCATTAGCGTCCGCTTTATTGGTCTATCATTGATATCTCGTTATGTCGAGTGTCCTCTGAGTAAAACGTGTTCGATGTAATCGTGAAACACAATATTCAAACAAATAAATAAGCATGATATTGATTTATACATTGAAACAATAGTAAACAACTTCAGATTTACTTGGAGCAAAAACAGAAGAATAAAATTGATCCAAATATTTTGGAAAACAGTAAACAACTTCACAAATATGTGTAAGTCATTATCTCATAACTTTCTTTCATATAAAACCGCCGACTGAAATAAATTTCATCAGAACACTCGTAGAGTATGTAAGGTTATCCATAACAGAATAGTGAATATTTCTTGGTCCATTTATTAAGTGATGTTGTGTTAACTCAATACTGTGTGAGAGTGTAGATATTTCAGTGCAATAGCACTGGGGCATACCATTGACATTCCTCAAGTTTTTAAAATTATTAGCAGATAAAGAAATACCGCTTCTCCTCGGTTCGCTGAAGCGATTGCGACAAAAACTCAAACCTGATCTATGTATTCAAAAATATGCAGTAATAAACCTTGTGCTACCCTGGTAATTCAATTTTTGGTCGTTAGTTTTATTTTGTTAATGTTTAGTTTGTTGTATTTCGCTTTCATTATCGAATTCTTATTTTCTGTACATTTAAACCACCACCCTTCACTCATACATTTCCACTCACTCAATTCTCCTAAATTATGCGAACTCATCAAATCTTGTTTATTTATTACGCAACACATGTTACCAGCTTTTCAATTCTAGGAATCTTGTACAAACCCTTCATTACTTCTAAAATCATCACACAACTCATCTTATCTGTCTCTGAACTTCACTCAGTTATTACATCATCCACCCCTCACATTTCTTGATTCTAACACTGAGTGACCTCCGACCTGTTCTTGCACACACATATATATAGTTATTATTGATAACCTTTGTTATTCCAATTCTTCACATTCACCTATGTCAATTGTTTCACACTATATCTTACATCAATGTGAAATTTTAATACATATTTGGTTGTTTTCGGCCGATGAGAAACCACGAAATATAACGAATTCATGTTATTCTGCAACCATGTTCGTCCTGGGATTATTTAAATTCATGAAGGGAACTAATTGCATGAAATTATTGATAACTATCGACCTCCAGAAACCTCTGGAAGCATACTAAATTTGGTAATTGAGCAAGTAAACATCCTAACAGAGTTCGACACATAACCCGTCAATATTCTAAGCTTTTGTGACGTATGTTAACTGGAAAAATGTTCTTATTCTCTTACTGGTTCCTGAAAGACTGATGGATAAGTTCTCGTAAAGATCTCAACAACTACCATTAAAATTTTATTTATCATGTAATATTTCACATATTACTGTCTGTTCTCATTACAATGAGAAATGAAAAGTAATTATTATCCAAACTAATTAATTATGATTTAAATGGAGTTTTGTTCCCTGAGCTGGATGGTTTGGTCATGGAGCCTTCAGCGTTATTCTGAACGGCATCATCAGCACAAACTCCACGATCAAACCATCCAGCTGATGATGTCGTTCAGAAGAACGCTGAAGACTCCATAACCAAGCCATCCAGCTCAGAGAACAAAACTCCATCAAAATCTTCCATCTGAGCTACAAATCTTCTCCACCATCTCATAATTATGATTTAAATATCTTCTCAAAATGATATTATTCTTTTTAATTAACGGTGTACACTAAAAGAACATACCTGATCTGAATAACATTATTGTCGTGTAACGAATTTTATATAATACACACATACTCGTATACAATGAAAAACAACATAAAGTGGTATGAAATGCTGGAGATGGCAACAGTAAGAAAAGAATTACTAGTTTCAATTCCCATAGTTAGAGAACAAAACTGAACTGGTTTGAGGATAAACAGGATAGACTCATGGGATCATAAGAAATTGTTGTTCAGATGTACTAAATTGTCGGACGGTGATAGCTTCTACAAACCTAGTAATATCCTAATTGGCAATTCCTATTATAAAGATTTTTTCAAGTTATTTCTAAGGTCAATCATATGACCTGATATAACTAGAAACAAATAAACAATAGTAACAATATAGAATCCTCATAATAACGACCATAATAATAATCATTGCTATTATTATTATTATTATTATTATTATTATTATTCAGGATGCAATAGAATAATATTTATTGCATGTAACTGGATCAATTAAATTTATAGTAGTATGAGAGTATTGTATCAATACCCGTATCATTGTATTAGTAGTGTGGAACAGTAAAAGATCATAATTTATTGATGAATAAGTCCTATACTTAATTTATTCTTAGCTTGTCAATCGGATTCATAGCGAAGCAATGATAATGACTACAAGTTATTTATTTATTTACTTGAGTATGCCTACACTGCAAATACTAACGCACTGTCATATGCAAGTAAACGACTTGATGTAACTTGTTTATCAAGTGTAGATTGGTATACGTTATTTCTGCATCGCCTATTACTTATACGGCGAAAATGAAGAACCAATGCAATTTCTACGACACCAAATAACAACACACAACACTGATACAAGTGAAGATTTATTCACCCCAAAAACACTACGATAACTCTAGTCGAAAATACACTCATTTATATAATCATTTGTACACCCATCTGATTAGTAATTAGGGAAAAGTCACATGTATGGAAACTATTCAGAATCATAAGACATCACATGTTGCATATCATGCTGAACATATGTTACATGCAAACGAAGAATAAATGAATGGTGACTACTGAGAATTATATATGAGTTATCATTACATATATTCTTATTGCACAATTGTTAAGTAACTAGGGTATAGATATATAATTAAATGTTTCAAAAGATGTTTAAGTAATTAATTGAAATATTGTTAGAAAGTACATACCGAAAACTAAACACATAGACAACAGAAGTAAATGATGTACAAATCGCTATGATGAATAGCAAATAGAAATTCTTTTATTCGATCCATCAATGATACTAAGTTATCTACATATGGATGTAATTTTCTGTGCATTTGTGAATATTATACAGATTTGACTGTGTATATAACAATGTTGAACTTGAGACTACATCAGTGTTTTCTTTCTTGATTACCTCTATACTTAAATGAAAGTATCATTCAATATAAAAATAGTTTTGTCTCACAGTGTAAAGAACTAGGTTATACAATATTTAAGGGTAAGAAGAACAGGCAATTGAATCTTTAAAAAAACTTATTTTAATGTAATTAAAAAATGTGTGTAGTGTTGCTTCTCAAAATAGGCTGAAACTTTATATTTTACAGAATTCAATCCATCAGTGAACATACGACTGGCAGCATTTTTTAATGAATCAAGTACTAAACGTCTATTCGCTCGAACCTGTTTAGTGTGAGGTTGAGCCAGATATCTGCCTATTGACTTTTCAATGTGTTTATACATAATTTTTGATGCTTTCAGTCGCCTCTCCAAATCATCGTCCTCTCCACCCCAACCCCAATAACTATTCGAATAACCATTAACCTGTATAAAGTGTGAAGTCGATATTTTCAAAACACCACCGATCAATGATTGGTAAGGTAAAACATAATTCCATGAACTCACTCCAACACTCAAATGAACCACACTCTCCATCATCTCTTCATCACAACCATGTGGTATTCTATCATCCAATGGTATTAAGTCGGCATCATGAAATATAACACAGTCGAAATCGAAACGTTTACGTGCTTCAATAAAACCAATGTTCATCAACTGAGCTTTGTTCAAAATACCAGTACCCTGTTGTTCAATAACAAATATTCGATAACACAAATGTTGTCTCTGGAGAACTGGAATCAGAGCGGACAATGTATTATTCAGTTGTTTCCATCTATCTCTACAAACAATGATGATTGCTACACCGGATTGTAGAACATTGTTGCAATTCGTCGTCTCCTCCTTAAACATCCAACCGCCACCAAGATCATGTGAATAAAATGTGTCGTTGATTGGGTTCACCTCTTCATTGAATTCACCATTGAATGGCATTTTCCCAATTGGTTTCAATGCACTCACCTTACTCGATGGAATACTGTCAATATTCTTACAAATAATACGACATGTGTGTTTGCAGTTAATATGTGCCATATTGCGTACAATAATTGCTTCTTCAGTGTGATTTCGTAGGGTAACATATTTGACAGTTGTACGCATGAAATATATATGTAATATGAAAATTATACAAAGTGTTAATCCGAATGCTTTCAGAATTGCATAGTAGATTCTGAACGATGATTTCTTCTTGATAAACATTTGATTATACAATCCTTATGTTTATAAAACACAATGGTAACAACGGTAACAATAACAAAAATAAACGTTGAAGAATCAAGTGCTTATTATCTAATTAACATTTTAATTGAGACACTGAACCAATTGATTTTGAGTATTATATTGACCAATTGAATTTTGACTTTTGTTTATAATGGTTAATTAAAGTTTAAGATTATTTCTCTATCACAGAATAACATTGCAGTAAAGACCAATAAAAGTTTGAATTCAGTAAATTGTCATTTTAACATAGATCTATTCTGTCGTCTGTTCTTAACTGCCACTTCTCAACTCATTCCCCAGGTGCTTGAGTGTGAGCCACCATGTAAGCGCGATGTCCAACCATAATCCTCAATCGTTTAAACAAAGTATTTAAAGAGGACTTTGAACCTGCGGTTGAGTAGCTGGAAGTCGAACGGCACGATCACTAAAATATCACTCTACAAGGGATTCAAACTCCATACTTATAACCTATTTATTATGAGATTAACCGAAGTTGTTTCTTTGAATGGGTCTGACATAAACTTTTGTTGGCTCAACCATTAGATCATTTCTTCCTGGGTTGTAGCGCTCTTTTGCCATTTCCAGATTATCATAGAGCCTCAGTGAATAATGGTATTTTATGCTTGCGATCAACATGGAGGGGTAGAAGTTTTTCTATGATGAGAAAGTATCAACTCCGCTTTCATCTTGTGATTGTACAGCTATCATGTTCATAACCGTTATGTGAGAGACGGAAATCAAGTTAATCAGTACCAAATATTGAAACCAGTACAAACAAACAAAATAGGTTCCTACAGGTCAAAAGTTGCAACACGTGAAGTCTTATCAAAAAGATTATAACATGATTTTGAGGTATCGTGGAAGGTATTTAACCTTCTGAGAAGCGCTCCAGTTATTCGCTCCTTTCAATTCATCTCATATTGTATTTCGAAGTATCTTCATTTTTTGTGAATTAGTTCTTGCTAGAAATATGTTTATTGTCCTCATGATCCAAAGATATTTTCAGATGTTTGTGTTAAATAATATGCAATAAATTATTCATGTAAAGTTCAATATAATTAAGGTTCCTTTTGAACATACCTCTTTTGACTGATGAAATACTTAATGAATACCTACTAATCAGCATAGTAAAATGATATCACTATGTAGTCTAGCTCAGATCCTATCAGAGAAGCTACTGAGATCTACCTGTGAATTTGAAAGTGATTTCTCTGGTTAGCTTGTCTATAGTGGTTATTTTCTATGGGGTGATGTTGCGAACCCTATCCCCAACTCTTCTTCTTTATCCGGGCTTCAGGTCGGTAGTAAGTCTAAACGGGCTACAAGCATAGTTACTCAATATCTGTTGACTGAATGTCATCAACAACAACCTACTGTGGCGGAGGACAAACCAAATTCCGGATGAGGAGGAAATGAGAAAAAGACGCTGAAGTTGGGTAGAATATACACTGCAAAAACTTGGAATTCTGAAGGCTAATGGATAAGAGGTGGTCCGGTGGACACATTGTGCCGGGAATCGCAGTCAGACATCGAAGGAATGAATCGCACTTGGAAACAACTGCAAAGGAAAATGCAGGACAGAAATGGTTGGCGAACCTCTGTCAGCGACCCATGCTCCAGAAGGGGTAACAGGCGTGAGTAAGTAACTGACGAATTTGAAATGATCGAACGAAAGGTCGTTCAAGTCAAGAATCTTAACTGTCCTACTCACCACTCTCTAAATTACAGTTCCTGTTGTTCGTCACTAGTCATTTATTCGGTTGAACGTTACCTATGATGATGTTCCATTCACTAAGTGAGTTTTATGTTTGCGATGTTTAAAGAGTTTAGCTGAAGTTCTTGAATCTTTTTTATCACGATATTGGAAAACGAAATCGTTGGTGCGTTTTTCTACCTCTTTGATATTACTTGGATTCACAGATGTGATAGAAGTCTGGATAGTTCAGACGAACTTTTCTGTTAAACTATGAGACTAAGAGTTTCGTGGATCTGTGAATAGATGACGGCATCCAATTTAAGTAAGCCAGCTGTTAAACTTTTCCTGTGAAATCTGTATGTGGTTTCATTTTAGGCACTTAGTGCTCACTAGTGAAATCGTAAGCACCTAACTCTAAATTCGCTTCTGGACCATGGCGGTGGATTGACAATTAAATTTTAGAGGCTGGTACTATACCAAGCCCATATAGGTTATTCTAACCTCTGAACAAACCAATCTATTCATTCTCTTCAAGTCACCACTTTATCTTGTCACTTATCCGCTTATCAGGTCTGACGTTTTTTATACGATTGTATGTGTGTTAATTATTTACCCTATTCATTGTGTTTCTATGAACAACGAGACACGCTCCAAACTCTAATGTAAATCCAGGCATCATTCATAAGTCCCAAGGACTAACTCAAAAAAGGGAAAATATAGCCAAATAGAAAATGAGGCGTTCGCTTTGTTATCTCCCGTCCGTCGTTCTCGCAAGCTTGTGCATGGCCGAAATTTTACGCTGTAAACATAACACAGCCCCTAGCTTGGTTTTTCACCCTAAGTCTTGGGTACTGGCACACACTAAGAACCTGATACAGAGATATGCTCTAATGTGACTACGATATGATTTCGAAATACGATACCATCAAACGGAATGATTTTGACAGACAGATATGCTGCTCTGAATGGTAAGTGAGCACTTGACAGAAGCCGAATAATCAATAGCCCTTACGCCATCTACAAAGAATCGTGCATCAAATCACTTGTCCAGCACCATAGTTTGAGATAACAAATCGAGGCATTTCAGAGAATCCTGCCACCGTCATACGATGGGTCACCAGATCATCCATAATGAAATGAACCTTTAGGTAAATGCTTTTTAAACATACGGGTAAGAGAACGGAATAAATACTACAAATTGTGCCATCCTTAATGACGCAGCCCCCAATAAACTAATACCACTGTAATCCATAGTAAATCGAATAAAATATTACTCACTCTTCCATGATGCTGCAGAAATACTTTGAAATTCAAGAAAATCCCCTAGAATTCCAAGTTAGTACACCAGTATTGGCTCGTGACTGCCGGATCACTATGACTTTACGGTTGACTCATATATATATATGCAAGAAGAATATTGTATGGAAGAACCAGTTGATCAGATATTACAATTAACCACATAGGAGAAATACTGCTAAGCCAGCTCAAACGTTAAAATACCATCGCATATCTTTAGCGTGACAAACCCAGAAAGATCAACATCTCAAGCGCCTGAGCACGATATACGAACACGAAGATGCGAAAAACTCTACCCAGTATATTTTCAATAACATTTGAACCATAGTAACCACGTTTTTGTTAGAATTGTGTGATTACTTTGATTTATCAAAGAATTACCGCCGAAATAATTGATGGTTGGTTTATTGTGATGACTTCTACACATTTGGCTGAAAATAAACAACATAAAACTGAAACCCAATAAAGCACAAGTTACCAGGTTTTTTCTAGAAATAGATTAGCTCACTTAAATTAAAAATAATAAATATGGTACTGATTTAAAATCGATATATTTGTCAGTTTAACGGGAAGATTTTGAAGAATGACTTGAATATTATATACTGTTTAATCAGTTGCTTATTTTGATAAGAAGAATTCACTTGAAATCTATAACTATTGACTATGAAGTTTATATTTCATGTAATACTGGTAAGTGTAAGTAGTCATTGGAATTCTATGAAACATTTGCTCTGTATTTCAATTGCAATCCCTAGAATAACTCATTTCTGGTTAGTGTCATATTTCGTCATAAGAGACAGAGTGGTTGTCATGACAAGAGTAGGTACTGACAGATGTTCGGCATCCATATGGGAACAAATCAACAGAGATAATATAGTATCTGAAATAATAGTAAAAATCTAAGTAGGAATATTTCATGGACCTCATTGTTATTGTGTAGCGTATGTCTCGGTGCTCCTTTTTACCAATGTTTATGTGTTCAAATACATAATAAATACAGATGGCAAAACTTGTGAGGAATGGTGAGACTGGGAAACCCTTGCCAACCTCACTGCTTGAATGGAACAGTGGAGAGAGGTGATTGTATGTCCTCACTCTGCCTGAGGTGTATGTATATAGGGCTTCTAAGATGTTAATAAACTTTTCAGATACACTCTTCTTCAATAGACAATCCCACAGAACAGTCCTGTGCATCGAATCGAAGGCAGCCCTAACGTTAAGAAACACTACAATTATTGACTTGGTATTGTTTATTGGAATCTTGGTGTTTAAGACTGAGAGTGATCAGTCTCTTATTGGCCTATGTGCATACCGTGTGGATTGCCCCGATATTGCCTTAATTCACAAGCATTATAGACAAACATGGATAGTGGCTAGCATAGGAATCCAGGATGCGCGTTTCGTCCTGTTTGGAACTCGTCACCTGTATGTACCTGCATCTCAGAGTTGATGTTCATTCCGGGACTCGAACACAGTGCCATTCGCCTCAAATGTCATCGCCTTATCCACTTGGTTACTGAGTCCTAATAGCCACTTCCTTGTGCGATAGGGCGAAGTTTAAATTCGCGTGGTATTGTTTAACTGAATCTTCCCACTATACGTAGTTGCAGAAAGACTGTTTCCGTATTCGTAGTCGTTGGTAACATTCAACTTTCCACCGGTCAGTGAGTCGAGATCATTTAGATAGAATAGGGGTTCCACTACAGGCGAGCTGCTGCATAAAATAAAAAATAAAATACGTAAAACGGAAATAAATGGGAATAAATAAGACAGCATAAAACAAATAAAAATGAATGTTATTACACGATTGTGAGTGAGATTTTTCTGAATGTGAGTTGAAGCAAAAATAATTTTTCCTATTGTAATCAACATTTGGTTTGTGTGTGTGGGCTGTGATAGTGTCCGAGTGCCCAAATCGAAGTGGGTGATCTTCTTGAGGGACCAAACCCTGAGCCTTTGACCTACAGGTCCAACCTATAAGACAGTGGAGCGACGTAAGAAGATGCAGTCTCATGGCAGCCAGTGACTAACAATAGGTTTATATGCCATATGGTTCTTCAGGATCCTGGAGCCCATGTGCACCACTGATCTGAAATCAGGGTCTTCCAACCCCCCTAGGTAGTTCCTCCGTGTCCATTAATCCGGTGAAAGCGCCGGATATTCGCTTTTCGTCACCTCGATTTCGTAAACAAAACCCTCACTGCGAGAAGGCAGTGAGTAGGACTTCTATGGCAGTGGCTGTATACGCGAGGCCATATAAGAGGATTTTGATATGGAAAGAGGACTCTTCCTAACCTCGAACGTAACACGATATTTCGGGCTTTAAAAAGGACAACTTTTTAGAATAAAAGTGTAAAATAATATTAGAAGTGAGAAGATTTGGATGATTCACAATGAATACATCACCACTGTTGCGGGTTTGAGCCAACGAACAGTGCAATCGCTCACGGAACTCCAAAAATCCATAGATTTAGATACTAAACGTATAGCGAAATGCAGTAAATTGCACCATCTCAAATAGTCATTCGATAAGTTGACTCGTATATCAGAATGATATTCTTGTAACGCGACATGGGGTTGTACATTAATGTCAACCTCATCTAATACATGTTTCTGTACATTTGGTGGGTCAATGTTACAGAATAATTTTCACCGGGTATTTCATTTCAACCACCTATGGCTGTCTACATATTGGACATAGTCCTCTTTATCATCTTGAAGAGATCAAGAAGTGCGGTTTGAGCAGAATAATATGAATCCATTTTATTTAGTTTGGTTCTCCTCAGCTATATGCAACGTGTTGTATTTACGTTTATATATATCTTTTGTGAACAGATCACTATTGTGCATGTTAACTTGTCAGATGAAAAAAGCCAATAATGTGGAATTTAGTGCTAGGAATGAAATTCCTAATGAATATTCTGCTTTTACCTTTAATACTTACTCAACGAACGGAAAGTCGCCCGGAAATTCTCGAAACTGCAAAAACAGCGAACACTGAAAAATGGTTGCATAATTTGTACCCAGACGCTTCATGTATTGCTGTCATTCGGATCCTAGTAATGCTTTTTTCTGATATACAGTGATGTTTATATGCAAATATGAAATTATCAAACCAAGCAAGGTAGTTCATGAGTCACTGATAGCATTGAAATGGATTACATAATCAAACATAATACGCAAAGAGTATAGATTGATTGTGTGATAACAGGTGTACTAGTTGTGATGAGAATACCAAAGGATTGAATCCATGTTTCATCGTGAGCAATAGATCAATGACTTAAAAAATATAAATACTGAAATAGTATTCATAGAATACCGTTATATCACATAATTGGAAGAGTTCAGATATTTGGACAAATAAGCATATATTTGGAAAAAAAATAGGTGAGAGGAGGTAAAGAGAAATAAACGGTCATTTCAATCACAGGAACATCCAATTCATGACTCTATCATTGACCAAAATTCCACAAGTCAAGATATTAACGTCGTATAGTATTACATACGCAAAATTAAACATACCATAATACTAGAAAGTGAATAGTTCAAATCCTAGATCTTCTACATATAGTAGTCATCAAATGAACAGATAAAAAGGTTTTCAAATTCATTTCCAAGGTGAAACCTATAAAGTTACATCCCAATAACAATAATGAAGGGCAAATGTTGGGATCCATTTATGGACCAATATTATGGGTATATTTTTACCGTATAATTGTTATGTAACTAAACTGTTCATATTCATCTCCCTCTTATTATGAGCTTTATTTTGACCTATGAACTATTATTATACGGTTTACCATTCATGAATTATTCCCTGTCTGTTAATCGCTACCTCCCTCATTCACAGTCACATCTGGCTAATTCTTGTACAAATGTTGTTTCATATTTTATTGGTGCGTTGTGGTCGGTTTGATTGGTATATAAACTCAGTATGCTTGAAATATAATGATTTATATCTCAGAGGCTGAGACTTACGTTCTGGACTCAACTGGCTGGGCTAGACAGGGAAGCAGGACTCAACCAGGACTCTAGGTCGCTCGCACGTGTTTATGCGTCATTGGTTCAATCGATAATTCGCTGCCGTCTAATCTGCAGTCACAGTTATAACACATTCATAAATACTCTGCACTCATATGCCCTTGTATGTCCGAGTTTGTTGTGCCCGCCCTCCTTCGGGAAATGTTCTCACACGGGGACGCGTACACAGCCTCTGTCAGGGATGTCTTACTCATTGCCTTCTCGCGGCAGGAGTGTTGTTTACGAAAATGAGAGGACGAAAAGCGAATGTCCGGTGATAACCATAGAGGAATTAGTTTAACTAATATAGTATCTAAAATACTAGCCTCGATAATTATTAGACGCCTAACAAAAACTCATGACCCGGAAACACGATAAAATCAGGCTGGTTTCAGAACTGGCCGTGGCTGCATCGACCACATATTCACCATTCTTCAGGTTCTAGAACATAGGCATACTTATCGGAGTCCGACAATGGTGGTCTTTCGTGACTTAAAAGCAGCATTTGACTCGGTAGACCGCGAGATTCTGTGGCAGTCTGTCATTGAAAGGCGTACCTCAGAAGTACATAAACCTTGTGAAGGCTCTTTACTCGAACACTACCAGTCGAGTTAGAGCTTATGGCGAACTGTCATCTGTTTCTGTAACCTCAAGTGGTGTCCGGAAGGGCTGTCAGTTATTTATATTTTCGTTTAACTTCATTATAGACCTACTGATGGAAATAACGTTCTCGTCAACTGAATCTTTGGGCATTGATCTACCAGGCGGTCCACTTATTGACTTAGAATACGCAGATGATATAGTCCTTTTTGGTGAAGACGCTGATCAAGTGCAGTCTTTTCGTAGCACTGAGTAACAATGCCAGGATGTTTGGGATGCGATCCTCCACCTCTAAATGCAAGTTGTTGCTTCAGGACTGGTCTGAGTCAACACCCGAACTAAGGATAAGGAGTGAAGTACTTCTAGGTCTACAGAGTGCTTATTCTACCATCGTACAACACTCGATAACGCCTTTCAATGACAGACACTGCCACAGAATCTCGCGGTCTACCGAGTCAAATGCTGCTTTTAAGTCACGAAAGACCACCATTGTCGGACTCCGATAAGTATGCCTATGTTCTAGAACCTGAAGAATGGTGAATATGTGGTCGATGCAGCCACGGCCAGTTCTGAAACCAGCCTGATTTTATCGTGTTTCCGGGTCATGAGTTTTTGTTAGGCGTCTAATAATTATCGAGGCTAGTATTTTAGATACTATATTAGTTAAACTAATACCTCTATGGTTGTCACAAGATGATTTTAACCCTCTCTTATATATTGGGACGATAAGTGATTGTGACCAGTCAGATGGAATAACGTCTAACTCCCAGATCTTAGCTAAAATATTAGTCAACCTAATCGCTAAAATTGGACCATCATCCTTAAAGACCTCTGGAGCCAATCCATCTGGACCAGCTGCCCTTCCTCGTTTCAGATTAACTATAGCCTTTTGAACTTCTGCTAGAGTTGGGAGACCTACTTCATTGTTCCATTCACACTGTCTGGGAATGGAGGGTAGTTGTAGAGTAGCTGAAGGCCAGCTGAAATAGTCTTTAAAGTGTTCTGACCATCTTTCTAAACGTCTGGGTTGAGGGCAGATAAATGTCTTCTTTTCCTGAGATCGTCTCACTTACACTTGACTTATTAATTCCAATTCCTTTCATTAGTCTGAAAAGCTGTCTTGTGTTACCTACAGTCGCTGCCTTTTCCATCTCTTTTGCTTTCGTTGCGCACCACAGCTCACGGTCGTTCCTTACACTTTTGGTTAACCTGGATCTGATTTGTTGTCGCTCTTCATCGTGTTCAGAGCCTGATGGGATGAGTTTACGGGAATCCATCAGTGCAATAGACTTAAAAGTCCTTTGGTTTTTTGTGACTGTTTGGTTTAAATCATTAATAGATGTCGCTACTTGTTGCACAGCTGTTATTTCCAAGCATCATCTGGGTCAGCCTCGTTTTCAGAACTACCTAAATGTGACCTCAGTTGTTGCAGGAACCAACTTTTGGTTTACTCATTACTCAATTCAATCCTAATGGGTCTTCTTCTGCATCCAGTGAGGTGCATGCAGATGCGTGCCCGTATTAGAGCATGACCGGAGTCCAAACAGGTATTCCAGAACAAGCGACAGTTTCCTATCGACCCTCTCCAACGATGACTGATGGCAACATAGTCTCTTTGAATCCATCGTTGATTTGATGTAGGTGGTCGCCATGTTAGACGATGTCTCTCCTTATGCTTAAAATTAGTGCTTGCTGAAAAAATTAACGGTTGTCTGAGCACAACTGCAGCAGATGATCACCATTATCTGTTCGCTGTGCTGAGATACTAAAACACCCATCTAAGAGTTTTTCTGTTTGGTTTAAGCTACCTACTTGGAAATTCGAGTCACCCGCTACAAGTACTATGTCTGAGCGCTTAGCTTTATGAAGTTCAGAGAGCTTTCTGCAAAAGTCACCTTTCACTTCATCCGTGTTGCAGTCAGTGGAAGCGTAGGCAGAAACGATGAAAAGGCAACGACATGTGTCCCTATCCTTCCGAATTCTTACGAAGCCGTTTATCCGAACAGCACATAGACGACTGTTAACGGGGATCCACTCTAATAGTGCTTTTTCTACCCTCGTGCTATGCCTACACCCGTCAGTTGTCTAGTGTAATAAAATGTCTGACTATTTTTCAAAACTAATTTAAATGAAACCAGTGTTTCAATACCGATTGACACCTGATCCGTTCATAGAAACTTTGAGTATTGCATTTAACTAAATAGCAATTTCGTACAAATAGTTGTCTGCAACCAATGCTCATCTATACTTTTCGGTGGGATGGTAGCTAGTCCTGAACCTAGCTCGGTTTGATTTTTAGTTGTAACAGAAGCTGCAACCAATTTGCAGATACTGATCCTTTGACAACGACGAATTTGTCGGCCACTGAAAAGTAAGGTAAGTTTAGCGCAAACAGAACATGATCTGAGTTCAGGTAGGTACTCCAAAAGGAGAGACAGTCTTGTGCACAATCACGCTAACGGTGGCTGATTGCGATGTGATCAATCTGAGTCCAGGTTCAAAATGCAGGGGAAGGACGCCAGGTAGCACATCGGCGATGACTGTGTTAGTAGAAACAAGTTGTAGTCTGCGCACAGTCACAGTAGACGGTCACCGTTATCTGACCTGTGACCAGCAAGTCCCCATTGGCCACTTAAACGACTCTTTACTGTGCCTAGACGCCCGACCTAAGTATTCAGATCTCCGGATATCTATCGAACGTACTTTCTGTAGAACTGTTAACTGGTAATAAAACTCATTCTTGATTGCATCTGGGCTGCAATCCGTCGAAACATAGGCGATGACGAAAATACATCGTTCCTCACACCGATTTCTTACTGTGATCGAACTTTCTAGCCTAACATCACATAACCGACTGTTCATGGGGATCCAATCAATCAGTAATGCCTCAGCTCTAGAAATTAGTGCGACAATAACGCCAGTAAAACCAGACGAAGATGCCAAAGGGTCCCCGGATAAACGCACATAAAACAAGCCTTTCGAGGCGATAGATGGAGAGCGAATGCGTTGTACCTCACTAACACTGAATACGGGTATCGGATAAACAATGGACGTCGATATTAAAACTTTCTAAAGACACAGTCAGCCCTATCTGTTATCCGATCTTCATTAGTCTGCGAAGTAGGTGGTTCTCTTGGGGGACCACACCCGGAGTCTTAGACCTAAAAGTCCAACCCATAAGACAGTGGAGCAACGTAAGGAGATGCAGTCTCATGACAGCCGGTGACCAATAATAGGTTTATATGCCATTTGGTTCTTCAGGATCCTGGAGCACATGTGCACCATTGGTTTGAAACCAGGGTTTTCCAACCAACCCCCTAGGTAGGTCTTCCGTGTTCATCAATCCGGTTAAACAGCCAGATATTCGCTTTTCGTCCTCTCAATCGCGTAAACAACACCTGCACCGCGAGAAGGCAGTGAGTAGAACTTTCCTGCCAGGGGTTGTATATGAGTGACCATGTAAGAGCATTTCGAGAGGGAGAGCGGACTCCCCACCCTCGGCCGTACCAGGGCATTTGGGGTCAGTTGTCCCAGGGAAACACCTTACTGCTGTAATGATTCTACTCTTGGGCATTCAATCAGTGCTTTCAGTCTTACCGTTCTCCAACCAATCTGCCTGGTGTGATTGGACCTAAAGAAACGCCTTCCAACCAATATAACTCGGTCGAGTCACAACAAACAGGACCGACCTCCATGTCAAGAACGAACAAAATAGCTGAGGTATACAGATCTTCACGAGTCATCAACTCTTGAAATCTAATACCTGAAGAAATGATTTCGCCGACCTTCTATCCTCAATAAACAGATCTTAATCTTACGATAATCTAACTAGTCATAATGTTCAAAACAGAGTTCTTAATCAGTGTTAGAAAGTGTGACTAGAATTTAAGGTAAGATACTAGAACCATGGTTTTCATTACGAACTGACATCAGCTATAACGCGAGAATACTTTGTAGTCATATGAATGGATTCCACGCAAAAGGTCCTAGAGATACTACATTAAATCTAATTGGTTTGCCCATGAAGTTTAGTTTAACCCTACAAGCGACCTAAAGTCTGTATAAGACCAAGTGACTCACCAACAATAAATCAGTTAGTTTTCACTGAGAATAGAAGGCGTAATAACCACAAAACATATCTAAAGTGTCTAAATTCACACTAAAGCAGAACAACTATGTACCTGATAAATAAACAATTTAAAGTACAGTATTAGCTATGAGTTCTGTTTACTCAAAGTGCAAACTGTCACAATTAATCTTGTGAAGGCCGGATGAATTCAATGGGTTCCTCGTAATATTTTGCATAGAAATAACTCACTAAAGTGGTATACAGCACCGTCATTAATAGTACTCCCAAAACTCCTTTATGATCATTCCTCAATTCAGTGGCGGACATCATAGATTCACGGTCAGAATGCTTCGCCCAGAACTCATTTAACGTTCGGTTGTGTTGTTTTACATAGAATGATTTAAAACTGTCTGTGCTTCTGTCTTTTACAGAGTCAATTGTGTAACCGTCCTTAGAGAAGTGATGCACGCCGCTGCCTATCGTATGAATTAGGCCACGGTCATATTCACTCCGTTTAACAGGATTTCCAAGGATTTCATAAGCTTTTGTCAACTCATGAAACTTTTCTCTAGAGTTAGGATCATCAGTCACATCAGGATGGTATATTTTTGACAGTCGATAGAAGGCTTCTTTGATATCTTGGTGAGTCGCATTGCTTGAGAGCCCGAAAACACTATACAATGAGTCAACTTTTGAGGAGAATACAGCTGATAATCTGTGATTGATACTGGTAGATACGAGTGAAGGAAATTTCGTAGCTAAATGAAACTAAAGTTGGCGAGATGAAAAGTTCACAAACAAAACGTTACCATTTAAGTTACCCGCTACGGTTTAAATAGTCCAAATCGTTCTGGACGGAATAGAAGAAGCTTTCGCTTAACGGGCTTCCATATCTAGTAGCAGTGGATCACCGATACCTCCAGACAGGAACTTAGGTATATTATCGATAAAAGAGAAGAATGAAAAAAGCTGTTGAACCACAGTAAGATACTGTCCTTAGTCTTTAAGAATATGTCAAGTTTTCTACTAAAGGACTCCTGGGAAGTCGCTTGGACTAACTCAGACGGCAGCGAATTCCAGTATCTGACCGCTCTGTCGCGCTGTATTTCCAGTTTCCGGGTGATGCCCCTAAGTTTTGTGTTAGGATTAAGCTTAAGTAGGTGTCTAAGAGGATGTCCAGAAGTGTTTAGGATGCTGTAAGCCACTAGAATATCACTTCTAAGACGCCCGTACTATAACGGGTAAAAGTTCAGTGATTGGAGGCAATCTTCATAGGGCATAAATTTGAGTCCATGAACTGATTTCGTGACTCATTGGACATGGATCCATTGGAGATGTTCCAATTTTGAAGTGAGAGAGGAAATTCTATATTTCCATGCTATAAGTGGGGTTGAGTAAAGATATTAAAAATGAAATAAGAAGTTCTATCGACGGACTGGCCGAAAATGCACTTCAGCGTTGACAGTGCGTGATTTGCTCTGAAGGCACTTTTGTTTCAGCTAGCGTAAGACTTCAGATCATAGGGTATTTACACTTCCAGGTCCTTTTCAACTTGGAATACCGTTAGAGAGGAGCTACACAAGTTGTATCCACAGTCCGTAACATGACTCAGATGGACTACTTTACACTTTGAAGTGTTAGAGTTAAGTACGTTGTTGTCTGCCCGACTTTGAAGTCGAGTCAGATCCTTCCAAAGTACCAGCTTATCATTATGGTTGTAAACTTCTCTCTAGAGTTTCACATTGTCAGAGAAAAGTAGTAAATCCGACGATACCTGCTGTGGAAGATCGTTCATATAAAATGAGAGAAGAAGAGGTCCTATTACCGAACCCTGTGAAACCGCACCAAAACACTCCGTAGCCTGAGGAAAAGTGAAGTTTACCCTGACTTTAAAAATTCACTTATTCAAACATGAAGTAAGCCAGTCAATTATTAGAGACTCGATACCTAATCGTTTGAGTTTATTGATAAGAAGTATGAATGATCTCATCAAAAGCTCTCGGAAGGTCAAGATGTTTGACGTCAACCTTCCCCTTGAGATCAAGGATGGTTGTCCATCTGCCACCACAGTCAGTAGGTTGGTTATACAAGAGTGACTTTTTCTGAGGTCGTGCTGTTGGGATGAAATAATTTTATAGATAACAAATAATCGTGTATGCCATCACATATCAGGAACTCCATAATTTTTGAGGGTATAGAGAGAACCACTGGTCGGTAGCTTGAAGGTTCGTTGTATCGACCTCGTTTCAGAATTGGTGTGATGTGAGCAAGCTTCCAATTTTCGAGTAATGTGCCTCGGCTTAGCGAGTGTGAGAACATCATGCTAAGCGGTGTTGCCAGGATTGAAGCTGCTTCGCTCAGTATAGCAGAATGAACCATAATCAGGCCAGGAGAAGTGTCTTATTTAGGTGCTGCAGTTTCCGGTACGCCAAGTCATCTCCCATTTTCACTTCTGGAAGTCCTGTGGAGTTTCAGATAAAGCTTCACTCAACATAGTTAGTCTGGGTTGGTTGAAATGTCTGAGCACTGTTCTGCCAGAAGGTTGGCGGTGTCCCCGTCGTTGTTGGTCGGGTTATTTGGACCTAGCAGTTGAGAAACTCCGGTTTTGGCTTGTCGAAGGGAGGCTGCATCACGAAAAAAGCTTTTGAGGTAGGAGACGAATTTATCGGTAAGCTTTATGTGGTACTGAAACTTATCTTCTCTTATTGCATTTATGTGTATGTTTCTTGTTTTTTCAAACTGCCTGTATGCGCCGTTGTCACCAGTTCGTTTGTATTCCACCCAGCAGTAAATTTTACGGCTTAGCAAACAAAGAGTATGGTTTTTGATGACTGTAAGTTGCTTGCAGATTTCGGAGACCGTTGGCCGAACAGACTAATTTGATGGTGATGATGATGATGATATTACTACTACTAGTAGTAGTACTACTGTTACTGCTACTACTACTGCTACTAGTGTGGTATGTGCTACTTATAATGACACAATCAGTTTATGATTTTAGGCGTGAACAGAAGGTCTGGCAGCAGAGAAACAAGAGGATTTGTGACAGGGTTTTGCTATAGCGTTCATGTTCCATAGTCCCAAGTTTTCTAAGAAGTATTCTGACTTTTGATGCATCATCCAGTTTGCAAAGTTCAATATAAAACAAGTCTTCATACTTCTTAAACCACAAATCGAAAGTTACACCTGCTACACAATCAAAATTAAATTCATGGATGGCGTTAATGACTGAATCAATATGTGATACTTTAGATTCAGTAGAAGCAGGGTTTCTCTCGGACAGGCAGAATTTCTGCATCAGGGTTTCCATGATTCTAATTTGGGACTCTTAAAACCTTTTTTCTTGACGCACCATATAGGCTTTTAGTTGCTCCAAGGAAATATTAATGTAGTTTTCCCGTCGCCACTGATAACTCTTGTCCATTGAAAGCTATATTTATTTCCTAAGCTATTCCGATGACCCGCACACTGGAACTATACAGCCACTTGAACTCCAGAGAGAAGACGCAAGTAAGAGAAAAAGTACTTTATCCCAAGGTTCATTTTTGTACAGAAAATCATGGGTATTTATAGATGTTGGCGTCTATTTAATCAATATCATATTTCAGCCAATCCGTTAACGACATATTATGCTACCGACCAATAGTAGCACGCCACGTTGGAATTCTGGAACGTTCCATCATACTGTGATTGGCCAGGAGCCTTCGGCTCCTTTTGGGCCTCTGGAGGCTCCGTTGAAGTTCTCCGGAAGCCGGCTCAACAGAGGTGATAGACGCTGAACATGAAAAGCCGAGGTTTATATGTTACTTTAACTGAAAACAAAAACTTAACATGTATAAAGACAGAAAAGCCTTTACAACTTTAGATACAAAAAATACTTTAAGATTTACTGAACGAGAAAAAATATCATTACCCTATTTGTTTTGGCACTCAAAAAGCACAGCTGTAAAATTATTTTAGTGAAAAACAATAGTCTTGGAAAGTACTTTAAGTGAAATAAATTCAATTAAAGCAAAAACAGCAGTTTTAAGGCGTGATAAATGACCAATACTATAAAATTAATTCAGAGAGCCAAAAACCACTGTTAGTAGATTAAAAATGAGATTGGACCTTCACAGTGTTGCAAATTGCAAGGATTAATATGGGTTGAAAGACCTTCTATCTTTACCATTGAAAACCGAACTAAAACACCAAGTGCACAACAAAGAGTTTGTCAAACTTGATGAATCCGTATGGTGCTTAGTAAGGTTGTCTGTTTGGAGTCATCTACAAGAAGAACACTGTTGATAACGAGCAGGAAAATCGTATGTGGGACGAAATATCCAGAGCTACTCTTCTCAGATATACTCACATCCCGATTCTAAAAGACTGCAACCTTCCTAAAGTCAATTTAACTGAATACACATACATTGGAAGTGAAAAATTTACCGAAGCTCAGTTCTTCAACCTCATTGAAGGTTTGAGATTATTCAAAAATATGAAGTGAGCAAATCGTTGTAAAAACATTCAGACGCCGTCGCCCTTAGACTGCGTATTTTCAAACGAAAAATTCCTAAATGACAACTTTTCAGTCCTGGTGTAGTGAACAAGAACACCAGTGGGGACAATCGAATGTATTTAACACAAAATTACAGGACGTGTTAATAAAATCTAACAATCATAAAGTAAATGCCTAATTTGCAAAATGTCCACCAATTGTCTCATTATTACTCAGACTTCATTGTTCTTGCATTTTCATACTAATTGCATCCTGTTTCCGTTCTTTGCTGTTCAATCCTCTTGTTTCTCTGCTGCCAGACCTTCTGTTCACGCCTAAAATCATAAACTGATTGTGTCATTATAAGTAGCACATACCACACTAGTAGCAGTAGTAGTAGCAGTAACAGTAGTACTACTACTAGTAGTAGTAATATCATCATCATCATCACCATCAAATTAGTCTGTTCGGCCAACGGTCTCCGAAATCTGCAAGCAACTTACAGTCATCAAAAACCATACTCTTTGTTTGCTAAGCCGTAAAATTTACTGCTGGGTGGAATACAAACGAACTGGTGACAACGGCGCATACAGGCAGTTTGAAAAAACAAGAAACATACACATAAATGCAATAAGAGAAGATAAGTTTCAGTACCACATAAAGCTTACCGATAAATTCGTCTCCTACCTCAAAAGCTTTTTTCGTGATGCAGCCTCCCTTCGACAAGCCAAAACCGGAGTTTCTCAACTGCTAGGTCCAAATAACCCGACCAACAACGACGGGGACACCGCCAACCTTCTGGCAGAACAGTGCTCAGACATTTCAACCAACCCAGACTAACTATGTTGAGTGAAGCTTTATCTGAAACTCCACAGGACTTCCAGAAGTGAAAATGGGAGATGACTTGGCGTACCGGAAACTGCAGCACCTAAATAAGACACTTCTCCTGGCCTGATTATGGTTCATTCTGCTATACTGAGCGAAGCAGCTTCAATCCTGGCAACACCGCTTAGCATGATGTTCTCACACTCGCTAAGCCGAGGCACATTACTCGAAAATTGGAAGCTTGCTCACATCACACCAATTCTGAAACGAGGTCGATACAACGAACCTTCAAGCTACCGACCAGTGGTTCTCTCTATACCCTCAAAAATTATGGAGTTCCTGATATGTGATGGCATACACGATTATTTGTTATCTATAAAATTATTTCATCCCAACAGCACGACCTCAGAAAAAGTCACTCTTGTATAACCAACCTACTGACTGTGGTGGCAGATGGACAACCATCCTTGATCTCAAGGGGAAGGTTGACGTCAAACATCTTGACCTTCCGAGAGCTTTTG